TCGATTCTTTTTATTAGACTATTTTTAATTTTTTTAATTTAATTTAATTATGTTAAAGTTATAAAAAATTAAGGCGTATTTAAGATACGCCCCCCTTGATTCAACGTCCAATCACGCCGAACGCGGTTAATGAGGTAAACGCCTCCTTTGACAAGTCGCCTATCAAATTCGGAGGAAAACCACGCCTTTTTAGGTGAAGTCCAACCCAAGGTAACGTGATTATTGAAAGGAAAGATAAGGTTTATGGAAAATTTTTAGGTTAATTCGACGAGATTAGCCGTTATTTGAAACGATTTGTAGGTTATAATTGGTAAATTGTGACAACAACATCAAGTGATAAAGCAGGAAAGGCTTGGAATTACGCAAAGCTAGTAAGGTAATGTAATTAGTTTGCAAAAAAAAGGTAATATACGCTATGAGGAAGATTACACTTACCTTGTTTGCAAACTATGGAAAAAACTTAATACTGTTACTAGAATGCTGGATATTGTTGGCAAAAATTAGAGACTGCTAATAGAAGGAGGAATATTGGTGGCAGAAGAATGACACTAAATATTGCTAATAGATAGCTAGATACTGCTGGCAGAAAACATTTTAGACTAGATACTGCAGCTTGAAGCTTAGATACTCTTAATAAAAGACTAAATATTGCAAAAAGAAAACTAAATACTGCTGGCAGAAAACCTAGAAGATTAAATATTGCTGGCAGAAGGTTGGAGATTGTTGGCAAAAACCATATACTGCTAATTAAAGACTAAATATTGATGGCAAAAAGTTGATACTGCTAATAGAAGACTAAATACTGATGGCAAAAACTTGATACAGGTAGCACAAGGCTAAATATTGATGGCAAAAACTTAATACTGGTAATACAAGGCTAAATATTGATGACAAAAACTTAATGTTGCTAACAGATAGCTAGATACTGCTGGTAGAAAACATTTTAGACTAGATACTGCAGCTTGAAGTTTCGATAATCAAACTAAAAGACTAAATATTGCTGGCAGAAGCTGAGATATTGGTAATAAATGGCTCGTAGAAGGCTAGATATTGCTGATAAGATTAGATATTGCTTGCAGAAGGCTGTATATTGTTGGCAGAAACCATATACTGCTAATAGAAGGCTAAATACTGATGGCAAAAATTTGATACTGCTAGTACAAGGTTAAATATTGATGGCAAAAACTTAATATGTTGGCAAAACCAATTACTAGATTAGAAACTTATGTCACGACTAATAGTGAAGTAAATGCTGTTGTCAGAACGTGAGATACTAATAAATACTGTTGGCAAAAGAGTAGACATTGATTATAGAAGTCTAGAACATGCTGGTAAGAATAGACATTACTTGAACAAGGTTGGTTTTTGTTGCAAAAACCTAATACTGCTGTCAGAAGCCTAGACATTGTTAATGCAGGTTTGATATTGCTGGCATAACCTAGATTTTGCTAATACAATCTTGGACAGTACCATGAGAAGAGTAATATTGTTAATAATTCTGCTTGCAAGTCTAAATACTATCAATAAAAGACAACATACTGCTAGGAAATTACCTGGGACAGTTAATAGAAGACTAAATATTGTTGGCAGAAGAATTAATACTGTTGGCAAAACACTAAAGAATACTTGTAAAGGTTGTATACTGATATCAGACGACCAGGTAAGCACTTACACCAAAACTCCAATGATGAGCATTAATTTTTTAGATGTAGAAATACTAATGGAGGACTAAACATTGCTGGCAGAAGATTAAATAATATTTGTAGAATCTTTCCAGAAGACTAGACACTAGGTACTGAAAATTGATGCGACAAAAGACTAAAAATCTTTGATAGAGCAATAAATATAGTCTACAAAATACTCCTAATGGAAGGCAGATAAATATCGCTTGTACCGGACAAAATTTTGCTAATAGAAGACTAGATAGAGTTGGCAGAACCCAAATATTGTTGGCAAAAATGTAAATACAACTCCTAAAGAACTAGAAATGAATGATAGAATGTCAGACACTGATAGCAGAAGACTAAGTAATGTTTGCAGAAATTTTCCAGAAGATTAGACAGTAAATACTGAAAATTTATGCGGAAAAAGACTAAAAATCTTTGATAAAACAATAAAAATAGCTTATAAAATACTCCTAATGGAAGATTCTGTTGGCAGAATACTAAATATTGCTTGCATAGGACTAAATTTTGCTAATAGAATACTAGATAGAGATGGCAGAAGACAAATACTGTTGGCAAAAATGTAAATACAACTCCTAGAGAACTATAAATTAATGATGGAATGTCAGACACTGATGGCAGAAGACTAAATAATGTTTGCAGAAACTTTCCAGAATATTAGACAGTAAATACTGAAAATTGATGAGGCAAAAGACTAAAAATCTTTGGTGGTGTAACAAATATAGCTTATAAAATACTCCTAATGGAAGACTCTGTTGGCAAAACATTAAATATTGCTTGCATAGGACTAAATTTTGCTAATAGAAGACTAGATAGAGTTGTCAGAAACGAAATATTGTTGGCAAAAATGTAAATATAATTGTTAGAGAACTATAAATTAATAATAAATTGTTAGACACCGCTGGCAGAAGACTAAATAATGTTTGCAGGAACTTTCCACAAAATTAGACATTAGATACTGTAAATTAACAACGAAAAGAGTAGACATGTTTGGTATAGCACTAAATATTGCTTACAAAATACTATTAATGGAAGACCCTGTTGGAAAAACACTAAATACTGTTTGCAGAGGACTAGAGTTTGCTAATAGAAGACTAGATAAAATTGGCAGAAGCCAAATATTGTTGGCAAAAATGTAAATACAACTCCTAGAGAACTAGAAATTAATAATAAAATGTCAGACATTCCTGGCAGAAGACTAAATAATGTTTGCAGGAACATTCCAGAAGATTAGACACTAAATACTGAAAATTGATGCGGAAAAAGACTAAAAATCTTTGGTGGAGCAATAAATATAGCTTACAAAATACTCCTAATGGAAGACTCTGTTGGCAGAACACTAAATATTGCTTGTGCAGGACTAGATTTTGCTAATAGAAGAGTAGATAATGTTGGCAGAAGCCAAATATTGTTGGCAAAAATGTAAATACAACTCCTAGAGAACTAAAAATTAATAATACAATGTCAGACACTGCTGGCAGAAGACTAAATAATGTTTGCAGAAACTTTCCAGAAGATTAGACACAAAATACTGAAAATTGATGAGGCAAAAGGCTAAAAATCTTTGATAGTGCAATAAATATAGCTTACAAAATAGTCCTAATGGAAGACTCTGTTGGCAAAACACTAAATATTGCTTGCGCAGAACTAAATTTTGTTAATAGAAGATTAGATAGAGTTGTCAGAAACGAAATATTGTTATCAAAAATGTAAATACAATTGTTAGAGAACTAGAAATTAATAATAGAATGTCAGACACTGCTGGCAGAAGACTAGATAATGTTTGCAGGAACTTTCCAGAAGATTAGACACTAAATACTGAAAATTGATGAGGCAAAAGACTAAAAATCTTTGATAGTGCAATAAATATAGCTTACAAAATACTCCCAATGGAATATTCTTTTGGCATAACACTAAATATTGCTTGTGCAGGACTAGATTTTGCTAATAGAAGACTAGAGAAAATTGGCAGAAGACAAATATCGTTGGCAAAAATGTAAATACAACTCCTAGAGAACCAGAAAGTAATAATAGAATGCCAGACACTGGTGGCAGAAGACTAGATAATGTTTGCAGGAACTTTCCAGAAAATTAGAAAGCACTAAATACTGAAAATTGATGCGGCAAAAGGCTAAAAATCTTTGATAGTGCAATAAATATAGCTTACAAAATACTCCTAATGAAAGACTATGTTGGCAAAACAATAAATATTGCTTGTGCAGGACTAAATGTTGCTAATAGAAGATTAGATAAAATTGGCAGAAGCCAAATATTGTTGGCAAAAATGTAAATACGATTGCTCGTGAACCAAATGTTAATAATAAAACATCAGACACTTCTGGCAGAAGACCAGATACTGTTATAGAAGTCTGATAATAGTCGATATGAACTCAAGAAACCTCAAAACTCGTACATAAAATTATGTTTATCACTTTCTGATCATCATTATCAATCATTTTATGTCATTTCCGTTATCCAACGAAAGAATTACAGCATTATCCTTTTTAAGGCAAAATCGCCTTATCTCAGTGTAAGCGTAACTACTTCAAGTTAAAGCTTTCTGATAACCATTTATCTTGAACATCTTGAACCACATTAAAATCAATTCCTTTTCTTCCTTGTTATTATCCTTAATGTTATATACAGGGCTTGGTTAAGGTCCAATACAGAGTTCAATTAAAAAAATCTTCTAAATTCTTATTTTTTTTTAATACATATACAATTTCGTGGTTCCACATACAACACATAATGACTTAATTAGATATATATTATATAACTATTTATATTAATAATTAATACGGTACACACAAAATCTTTTTATCTAACTTTTAAGGTTATCGACCTTAAAAATTTATTTTTTTCTCGTTTTAAATTAGATTCAATTTACAAATATCTAAATATATTTACAGTTTAAATACAACTTTTTCAAAAAAAAAAAAAAAATTATAATAATTATAATAATAATAATAATAATAAACAATAAAAGAAAATAAAATACAATAAAAAACACGTAAGGTACAATTGTGAGGATACTTTTTTTTTATTATATTGCGCTTGATTCTTTTTTTTTTTTTAACAATTAATAATAATAATAATTGATTAATTTAATATAATAACAATTTTTTTTTTATTTAAACGGTGGTTTTTGTTTTAAAAAGTGCGATAATAATTAATAGGAAACAATATTTGTTAAAATCTTTAAAAATTAATTAAAAATATAATTAAAATGCCCATTATTAATTTATTTTCGCTATGAAGGGATTTTTTTTTTATTGTTTTATTTATGTTGGCACTACTTTTTTTTACTACTATTTAAAATAAAATCAAATCATCTTTGATGATTAAAACAAATTTTACGACGAATCCTTTTTATTTATATCACTCGTACCAACTTCCTTTTTTGTATCAACTTCATCAATTTCATTTTTATCATCCTTTTTCTCCTTGTCATTCGAGTTTTGGTGGATTTCTTTTTTACCGTTGGCAGCGGGTGCTGTCACCGATACTTTTACGTCAATTTGTGCGTTTTGACTTTTTTGAACTTGATTATTTTTTTGTGTTAATTGATTTTTTTGTATTAATTGATTTTTTTGTTGGTTATTGTTTTGGGGAGTTTTCGTTATCAAGGTAATTTGATTTTTTTGGTTCGACTCAACTTGTTGTTGTTTTTGTACGATTTTAACCTCACTTTTTTCGGGAGGCGTTTTTTCTTTTGAATCATTTTCGTGATTATTTTGTTGTTTTAAACAATTTAAACGATTTTGATTTTGTTGTCGCACCAATAAACTCGGGTTCGGGATGTTTCTTATGCACTGATTCTGATTCGGACGATTTATCCGGGAATTATTTAGCATTCGATTTTGTAGGAAATCGTTTTTGTTGATTTCGTTTAATTTCGGCATTGATTTTGCGATCTTCTCGGTGTTTTGGTGATGATGAAAAGGTAACCTGATGCTTTGCAAATTAGGAATTTGTTTATTTTTATTCAAATTTTGAGCATGTTCCGAAGCCACCTTCGATAACATTTGCAAATTTGATAAATTCGACAATTGAGTTCCACTTGAAGTTAATCCATTATTATTTGGTTTCGATAAATCTAAAGGAAACGTTTCATTCTTATCATTTTTATCATTCTTATCATTTTTCTCATTTTTCTCAACCTTATCAACCTTCTCATCAACTTTCTCACTTTTAATAACTTCATTCTTTACATTCCTAACCTCACTTTTAACATTACTTAAACTCCTAACTTCATTCTTATTCATAACATAATCATTCTTATTTAATACTTCATTTTTAACACCTTCCTTTCTAACCTCAATCTTTTTTTCAGGTATTTTTGGAATAATACTAACCCCAGATGAAAAATTATAAGAGTTTTTAATCTTCTGTAAAGGAATAGTGGCGGGGGGAGGTCGTTTTTGATTATTTTGGTTCGACATAGAAGGATTTCTAATTAAAGTTATCTCCAAGCTAGGCTTTTTCAGTTCTTTTTCCACACATTCCTCGTCGAGTTTTCGTTTAACCCCACCCGACTCAACCCTGCTAACTGTAAAACCAGGCGGGTATTGAAGATTTTTATTTTGCACGAAATCCTTAACATCAGATGATTTAGGTTCCGAGCTTTTGTGCCTAATTTGCCTCAATTGGCTAACTTTTTCTTTGGAATTAACAACGTCTTGATCAAAATCGACGCTTTTATGATGTTTGTGTTTATGTCCATTATGCGGTGTGATTTTAACCTTTAATTTTAAACTTTCCTCGCTGGTTATCTCAGCGTGTAACTTTCTTTTTTTATGTTCGTCTTTCGAATGTTTATTTTTCTTCCTCTTCTTGCTGATTTTGTACTCCTCGTCCGGCGTTTTTAACGACTCCCATTCGCGATCGCGATTCTCAGCGAACTTCTCCTTATTGTTATCCTCACCGTAACGAAATAAATCCACGTGTTCGACTGCGGTTTTCTTCCGAACTTGAAGCTTTAACTCGTTCATTAATCTCTCTTTATCTTTGTTACGCTGTTCGTCCTCCAAACTACTCAAAACCAATCGGCAATCCTTTATCGTTTCCTCTTTATTTCCTTTCAATTCCTTGGATTCTTTAAAATCTTTCACGCTTTCATCTTTATTGTTGGCGGAAATCGACACGATTTGATGGTGCTTTTCGCCCGCTGAAGACGTGGTATTTATTATCCGAATCGGTTTGATTTTAACATGGGCGAAAATCCGGTAGAAAAAGCGAAGCGGTTTTACCTAAAGATAATTCCACAATTCATTTCACCACCCAAAAAAATTTTTAATCCAAAAACAAAGTCGATATTTGAATTCTCCGCGAAAAATCATAAAATTTGAGTGGTCACTCGACATATTTATTTAAACAAATAGATGAGGCGCCATTTTGAAAATTTAACCCTATCAAAAAATTGAATCGATTTTTGGATTCTCCGCGAAAAATCATTAAATTTAAGTGGTCACTCGATATATTTACCTCAAAAAACAACCTAAAACGGCCATTTTTAATTTTTTCACATAACCTCAAAATCAAAATTAAAATCGCGATATCTCGAGAACGAATAAAGATAACTCGATGGTGTTTGGACTCATTTTGATCGTTTTTGAATGAGGATTTCAAAAATCGCAACTAAATTTATTTTAAACGCGAAATGAAAGAATTCGATCAAAATAAAATGGCGGAATTTAATTATTTAAATCATAAATTTGATATATTTTTATAAAGTAGATTACTTTTATACAAAAATTTCGTGTTTTAATGTTAAAGTTCATTTATTTAATAAAAATTAATATCGCCGCCATCTTGAATATTTAACCTAATCAAAAAATTGAATCGATTTTTGAATTCTCCGCGAAAAATCATTAAATTTGAGTGGTTACTCGATATATTTTCCTCAAAAAACAACATAAAACGGACATTTTTAATTTTTTGCACATAACCTCAAAATCAAAATTAAAATCGCGATATCTCGAGAACGAATAAACATAACTCGATGGTGTTTGGACTCATTTTGATCGTTTTTGAATAAGGATTTCAAAAATCGCAACTAAATTTATTTTAAACGCGAAATGAAAGAATTCGATCAAAATAAAATGGCGGAATTTAATTATTTAAATCATAAATTTGATATATTTTTATAAAGTAGATTACTTTTATACAAAAATTTCATGTTTTAATGTTAAAGTTCATTTATTTAATAAAAATTAATATCGCCGCCATCTTGAATATTTAACCTAATCAAAAAATTGAATCGATTTTTGAATTCTCCGCGAAAAATCATTAAATTTGAGTGGTCACTCGATATATTTACCTTAAAAAACAACCCAAAAGGGCAATATTTAATTTTTTTACATAACCTCAAAATCAAAATTAAAATCGCGATATCTCGAGAACGAATAAACATAACTCGATGGTGTTTGGACTCATTTTGATCGTTTTTGAATAAGGATTTCAAAAATCGCAACTAAATTTATTTTAAACGCGAAATGAAAGAATTCGATCAAAATAAAATGGCGGAATTTAATTATTTAAATCATAAATTTGATATATTTTTATAAAGTAGATTACTTTTATACAAAAATTTCATGTTTTAATGTTAAAGTTCATTTATTTAATAAAAATTAATATCGCCGCCATCTTGAATATTTAACCTAATCAAAAAATTGAATCGATTTTTGAATTCTCCGCCAAAAATTATTAAATTTGAGTGGTCACTCGATATATTTACCTCAAAAAACAAGCTATAACGGACATTTTTAATTTTTTACACCTAACCTCAAAATCAAAATTAAAATCGCGATATCTCAAGAACGAATAAAGATAACCCGATGGTGTTTACACTTATTTTGTTTATTTTTTAATGAGGATTTCAAAAATCGCCATTAAATTTATTTTTAACTCAAAACAAAAGAATTCGATAAAAAAAAATGGCGGCAATTACTTATTTATGACAAAAATTTAATATAAACCTATAAATTAGATCGATTTCATAAAACATTTTCATGTTTTAATGTAAAAAATAAGTTATTTAATAAAAATTAATATCACCGCCATTTTGAATATTTAACCCAATCAAACAATTGAATCGATTTTTGAATTCTCCGCGAAAAATCATTAAATTTAAGTGGTCACTCGATATATTTACCTCAAAAAACAACATAAAACGAACATTTTTAATTTTTTGCACATAACCTCAAAATCAAAATTAAAATCGCGATATCTCGAGAACGAATAAAGATAACCCGATGGTGTTTGGACTCATTTTGATCGTTTTTGAATGAGGATTTCAAAAATCGCCATTAAATTTATTTTAAAGCCGAAATCTAAGAATTCGATAAAAATAAAATGGCGGAAATTAATTATTTATGTCAGAAATTTAAATATTTTAATAAATTAGATCATTTTTATCCAAATTATTTATGATTTAGTAAGAAATAATTTATTTAATAGAAATTGATATCGCCGCCATTTTGAATATTTATTTAACAGAATCAAAAAATTGAATCGATTTTTGAATTCTCCGCGAAAAATCATTAAATTTAAGTGGTCACTCGATATATCTATCTTAAAAAACAACCCAAAACGGACATTTTTAATTTTTTGCACATAACCTCAAAATCAAAATTAAAATCGCGATATCTCGAGAACGAATAAAGATAACCCGATGGTGTTTGGACTCATTTTGATCGTTTTTGAATGAGGATTTCAAAAATCGCCATTAAATTTATTTTAAAGCCGAAATCTAAGAATTCGATAAAAATAAAATGGCGGAAATTAATTATTTATGTCAGAAATTTAAATATTTTAATAAATTAGATCATTTTTATCCAAATTATTTATGATTTAGTAAGAAATAATTTATTTAATAGAAATTGATATCGCCGCCATTTTGAATATTTATTTAACAGAATCAAAAAATTGAATCGCTTTTTAAATTCTCCGCGAAAAATCATTAAATTTGAGTGATCACTCGATATATTTATCTCAAAAAACAAGCTAAAACGGACATTTTTAATTTTTTGCACATAACCTCAAAATCAAAATTAAAATCGCGATATCTCGAGAACTAATAAAGATAACCCGGTGGTGTTTACACTTATTTTGATTGTTTTTTAATAAGGATTTCAAAAATCGCCATTAAAATTATTTTTAACGCGAAATGAAAGAATTCGATCAAAATAAAATGGCGGAAATTAATTATTTAAATCATAAATTCGATATATTTTTATAAATTAGATTACTTTTATACAAAATTTTCGTGTTTTAATGTTAAAGTTCATTTATTTAATAAAAATTAATATCGCCGCCATCTTGAATATTTAACCTAATCAAAAAATTGAATCGATTTTTGGATTCTCCGCGAAAAATCATTAAATTTAAGTGGTCACTCGATATATTTACCTCAAAAAACAACATAAAACGAACATTTTTAATTTTTTGCACATAACCTCAAAATCAAAATTAAAATCGCGATATCTCGAGAACGAATAAAGATAACCCGATGGTGTTTACACTTATTTTGTTTATTTTTTAATAAGGATTTCAAAAATCGCCATTAAATTTATTTTTAACTCGAAACAAAAGAATTCTATACAAAAAAATGGCGGCAATTATGTATTTATGTCACAAATTAAATATAAATTTATAAATTAGATCTTGTTTTAACGTCAAAAATAATTTATTTAATAAAAATTAATATCGCCGCCATCTTGAATATTTAACCCAATCAAAAAATGGAATCGATTTTTGGATTCTCCGCGAAAAATCATTAAATTTAAGTGGTTACTCGATACATTTACCATAAAAAACAAAATAAATCCACCATATTTAATTTTTTTAACATAACCTCAACCGAAATTGAAATAGCGATATCTCTGAAACGAATAAAGATAACCCGGTGATGTTTATACTCGTTTTGATCGTCTCGCAACGGCGATTTTAAAAACGTCCACGAAAACAACCTATTTTTAACCGGTAATAATTTTAGATTTGGCGAAAGTAAAATGGCGAATTCTTTATTTGTTTAATCTTTTTTTTTAGCGCGCGTTGTCATTACTCGTCGCCGTCGTCTCTAGGTTAAACGCGGACAAAATAAGTTCAACAACCCGTCGTCGCGTTTAGTTGTAGAGAGTGTTACCGCTAAACGCCGTCGCGGCCGCGAACAGCGCTATTGTCGTTTTCGCTATTTCTTTCTTATTTACTACCGAGTGTTAGAAAAAAAAATTTTTGGCGACTTACCCGATTCCATTTAAACGTGTACGCAACGTCCATTAGTGTAAAAAAGGTTGGCAACACTTCTCCGTTGTGAATAATATCGACCTAAAACACAAAACAAAAAAAATAATAACAACAAAATAGAAATGTAGATAAGATTTTAATTTTTTCAAGGCTAACTTGAGTCATTGTTTTTAATGGATTAATATTTATATACAGTGTGGTTTTTTTAATACTTACTTTATGATCATCTTTTAATCCAAATTTCATCCGGATAAACTTTTGTAAATGCGTCATTTGAACCGCAGCGGGACACTGAAGATACCTTCGATCGCATTTAACACCGCTATTTTTTATACTTTTTATGTTGGCACCACCGCAAACGTTCGTTTTCGTACCGTTTTCGATCGGCGTCGTATCTAATTCCCTTTGATAGTACTCCAAAGACAGCGAGATCGAATCGTCGGGGCTTAAAAATGGATTTTCTTGACCCAAGTTGTGAATCTAATACAACAAATATAACAATAAAACTGTTAATAATTAAAACAAATAAATTAATAAATACCCATTCTTCTTGTTCGTGATTATTTTCGCCGAACAAACTATCATCGCTGCAAGAACTACTCGCTCTCGCATCCGTACTTCGATAAAAATCGTCCCTTCGTTGAATTTCCTTCGAATACAATCCCGGTACTATTTTGTAAACCAACGTTTGTAGCGTCATATCCGGTTTTTTATCTTTATACGGTTGCAAACAGTTCTTTACGGGACAACATTTGCTGTTTTCGAAGTGCTTTACTATGCAACTTCTACAAACTAAAAAAAAAATTAATTAAAAAAAATTATAAAAAAAAACACCCCGTATATATATCATTATTTTTTTAGATTTCCTTACACGTATGCAAACAATCCAGTAATTTCGTAGCGTCGATTAAATAACCAGAGCATAAAGGACACGTCAATAAAGGATTTAACTCCTTCAAACCAATTCCGCGTGGTTTTTTCATGTTTCCTGAAAACAAAGAAACGAAAATTAATTTTTATTAAAAGAATCGCATCCGCCGTAAAAAATCCTTCAAAACGAGTACAAACACCACCCGGTTATCTTTATTAATTCTCGAGATATCGCGACTTTCTTTTCAATTTTGAGGTTGTGAATAATTTGTTAATAAATTTAGTTAGAATTTGTTGTGAGAAACGATTTAGTCCAAACCCGATTTGATTATCTAAAAAAATGAGGGAGATATCGCCGAAAAACCGCGAAAAACAAAACACGATCGCGTAATGTTTAAATCGTCGTTTCTCGATTGTTTTTTGACCGAAATCGGTCGTGTTTGGTACCGTTTAACTCGGCTTTTAGCGTAGATTACGAATTTGAAATGTTGGGAACGCGTCGTGAATCAAGGTCATCGACGCCATTTTGGATTTAATCGAAACTTTAAAGTTAAGTTGATAAGTTTTGAGATATAAAACAATTTAGTTCAAACCCGACTTGATTATCTCAAAAAATGGGGGAGATATCACCGAAAAACCGCGAAAAACAAAACACCATCGCACAATTTTGAAATCGTCGTATCTCGGTTGTTTTTGACCGAAATCGGTCGTGTTTGGTGTCGTTTAATTCGGCTTTTAGCGTAGATTACGAATTTAGAATCTTAGGAACGCGTCGTGTGAATCAACACCATTTTGGATTTAATCGAAACTTTAAAGTTGAGTTGATAAATTTTGAGATATAAAACGATTTAGTTCAAACCCGGCTTGATTATCTCCAAAAATGAGGGAGATATGGCCGAAAAACGCGAAAAAACAAAACACGATCGTCAAATTTTGAAATCGTCGTATCTCGGTTGTTTTTGACCGAAATCGGTCGTGTTTGGTACCGTTTAACTCGGCTTTTAACGTAAATTTTGAATTTGGAATGTTGGGAACGCGTCGCGAATCAACGCCATTTTGGATTTAATCGAAACTTTAAAGTTGAGTTGATAAATTTTGAGATATAAAACGATTTAGTTCAAACCCGGCTTGATTATCTCAAAAAATGGGAGAGATATGGCCGAAAAACCGCGAAAAACAAAACACGATCGCGCAATTTTGAAATCGTCGTATCTCGGTTGTTTTTGACCGAAATCGGTCGTGTTTGGTACCGTTTAATTCGGCTTTTAGCGTAGATTACGAATTTAGAATCTTAGGAACGCATCGTGTGAATCAACATCATTTTGGATTTAATCGAAACTTTAAAGTTGAGTTAATAAATTTTGAGATATAAAACGATTTAGTTCAAACCCGGCTTGATTATCTCAAAAAATGGGGGAGATATCGCCGAAAAACGCGAAAAACAAAACACGATCGCGCAATTTTTAAATCGTCATATCTCGGTTGTTTTTTGACCAAAATCGGTCGTGTTTGGTGTCGTTTAAACTCGGCTTTTAGCGTAGATTTCGAATTTGGAATGTTTTCGAACTCCATTTTGGATTTGATCGAAAGCTTAAAATTATTGATTAATTTTGAGATGTAAAAAGGTTATTATTTATTAGGTTAAAATGGGATTTTGAATTATATTAAGAAAAAAAAAAATTAATTAAAACCCGCCATTTTGAATTTGTGACAACATAACCTAAAAAAAAACGTTTTAATTGATATCTCGGGAATTAATAGAGATAATTTGGTGGTGTTTGGGTTCGTTTTAATCGTTTTTTTATGGAGATTTGAAAAATTTAATAAAAAAAGGATATTAATTGTAAAAAAAAAAGATTTTTTTTAATTTGTGATTTTAATTTGGGGTTAATCAAAAAAATATGAAAAAATCCCCCTCGGGGAAGGTAATTTTGGCAATTGCGTGAGAAGGGGTTGGTGTTTTTAGAGGGTGATGATGGAGGCGTCAGCGAGGAGCGGTGGGGGGAGGTCACGCTGCGTTTCGAGACGTGTTCCCGTAACCACGCCCCACTTCCCTGCACTCATGTTCGCCTAATACAATCCATGAATATAACCACGTGGTATAAACATAGTAGTTCCACGAACGTGTCAACGATATCTACGATATTATTTAACGGTAAAAAACAACACAAAAAAAGACAATATCAACAAAAAAAATTTTTTTTAATCAACTCACCTTTGTAAAAATGAAACAATTTTTAATCACCAAAATCGAATTTAACAAAAATTTTTTGTTTTCAATATTCAATTCTTTTTTCGATTTTATTTTGTTTTATTTAATTATTTATTTATTTCTCCTTATTATTTTATTTTTTTTTTTTAATTTTATTATTATGATATATATATTTTTTTTTTTAGTTTTAGTTGCTTGGCAACGTCGAGAAACGAATTCCGCTTTTAAACCCGTAGCAACCGCGTTTCGAGGACAACGTGGCAACGTCGCGCTCTGCCTACAAACACACACACACAACGACGGCGGCAGCACCAGCAACACCACTGCATGTTAAAATAGCCAGCCCGAGTCGAGAGCGAACGATATTACTATTTTCGGGCGCGGTTTTAACGCACTTCCACCGTCCCGATTCTCATCAAAATCGCACAACGCATCCTTCGCGACGCCAACGATCGATTACCGCTTTAATTTCGACTCCATCAACAAAAAAATTGATTTTCCGTATTCTAAATCGAGAACGCGGTACCGCACTGTAACCAACTTGGATCTACACTGTCGTGCTGTACAGTTGAAGCTTCGACCCATACAGGGTCTCGGCCACGCCTCCTACGACCAATCGACGACCAATGACGCCGTGACGTCACGACCGATGAATACCGAACGGTTACGAACGTTAAGACGATGTCAAAAACCATTTTGTTGTGGTTTTTGTTGTGTTTTAGGCCTTTTTCTGAGACGATTTCTCGGAGATGAAGCGAGATGACGAAAAATCGATTATAAATAATAAAAATAGAAAGCTTTTTTTAACCGAAAATATATTATTAATGATGGGTTTATATCGAAAATTTGAGTTGAAACAGAATTTAGTTAGAAATCAAGTTTTTGAGTACTCTAGACAACGTTTTTTTTTTGAAAGGGATGTTGTTTATGATGTCATTTTTGAGACAAAGCGAGAGTCAAGAGTTTCTTTTAAGCTAAGATAAAGTGTTATTACCTAAAGAAAAGATACTTTTTTTTTAAACGGGCGATAACGAAATGGAAGATGAACTGTTTCGGACAAATCGTTGCCATATCATGTGTTATTTCGCTCGTTAATCAGTTTTAACCTCAAAATGTCACTCCTGCATTATGAGTTGATACAACCTAAGCGAGGAATCAATGATATTACCTTATAAAGCCGAGGTCGCTTGCGGGCGAGGCTCTACAATGAATATTAAAACGTTTGAGTGAATAACCTCAGCTAAGCTTAAAGTGATTATTTCGATTGATTATGATGGAAATTTGGGTTTTTGCCTGAATAAGCCGAGGTCGCTTGCGGGCGAGGCGCTACAATTAATATTACTTCAACCTGCACCTGATTAAGATATTGCAAGATGTATTTTCAAAATGTTCCATGTATTTATTGACCACCCGTAGCATCCAAATAAATGGGTAAAGAAGTCTTTACTTACGAAGAATCGCTTCTGATTAACGAGATCTTTGCCAAAATCAATGAAGCTAGGTTGCAAATGGACCACCAACATCACTTTACAACTAATTAGTTCAGTATCATCTTGTTAATTAAATTCAAGATTTTTATAACTGAGGTTTAAATGTTTGAAGCAATACAAAATTTGGTATATGTCAGCAAAATTATTTTACGTTATAAAATATTAATCAAATAATAAAAGGAAGAACAAAAAAAAACTGATAAAAATAGACAGGATATAAAACTAAGTACAATAATGGCATATTTTATTACCCATTATTCTTTAAATTAACTACTAAAATTAAACATATGATATACTTATCATTAATTAAAAGTAACTTGATGGTCAATTCAACCAACGCACAATATATACGCTGTTCCATTAAAAAAACTTATGAAAAAGCCATTTGAAAAGATATCAAAAGTAACTAAGCTTTATGAACACCCTGTATAGCGTATCATCGTGGCTTTGACTATTATCTGACATAGTTTCAAGACAAAATTGGAAAAAATGTCGTTTTTACATCATTTTTAAAAAGATCAATGGGCACATTTTAGAAAAACAATTGAATATGAACTATGAACGCTATGAGTTACTAACATATACGGTTGTATAAGCAAATTTAATTGTATTCATGATATGATAAAATATATAGTGTTCCATTCAAAAAAAATTACATACTCTTTGTTATGTCTAAATGGAACACCCTGTATAAATAAAAATAATTTTAGATAATAGAAAGTGGTGAGTCCAATAATTTTTGTATAAAACATTCTTTTCTTTCTCAAACGGTTTGGTAATTATCGTCGGGATATTAATAACTCACCCTATGTATATATATATATATATATATATATATATATACAGAGTGTCCCAAAACTCAACGTCAAGCGGGCACCGTGTAAAAGGCCAACCCATACCTGCTGTGGTAAATATAAGAAAAAAAATCGATGTCTGTTAGTTAAGGGGAGGAAATACAAATAACATAAGAAAGTATGCATTTTTCTCGTCATTTTGGAATCTTGACTAAATAGGCCATCTTTTAAAATAACTTGCCAAGGGTGTTGTACTACTCCTTTGTTTAGAAATCGTGTGTCAAACTTAATAGACATAAATCCTTTCAACCTCAATCAAACTAATAGTTTTTTTTTGCAAAACTAACGACTTTTGTTGTTCGATTTGTGACAGCTATAGTAGCATGGTTCATTAGAAATACATTATTAAAAAAATCACTATTAAGATATGATGTACGGGAACGATTTTCAACATTTTAAAAAATATGTCTATTACCACTTAACTAAAAGACATAGAATTTTTTTCTTATTTTTACCAGAACAGGTATGGGTTGACGTTGAGTTTCAGGACACCCTGTATATATACACGGTGTCCCGTTAAGGGTACGGAGCGGCTTTATCTCGACAACGGTAAGGCCTAGAT